CGTTCCAAAAATTCAAAAATAAAAGTCTTTTTCCAGAGAAATCTATATCTGGAAGTGATAATTGCGATGACGTGGATTGACGAACGACTCCGCCTTCGAGAATTGAAAGATCGATTTCCAATGCCTTTAGAATACCCAACATGGCATCCATCCCTCGTTTTCTCACCTACAGTAACCTCAAAACACACTACACTCGCCCCAACCACCGGAACAATGAATAGCTACAGTACCATCAAGACAACTGTAGAATGTCAAACGAATGCGTGGAAATATCCATTCGAGTCATTCACATGTACACTTTCTGTGGTCCCGGAAGGCGATGAGACACTTACAGTAACCCAATTTCATGATCTGAGAAGCGATACACAGAAATTACTGACCAATGTCTTTTTGGGTGAGTTTAGGAGCCATTTTAGAGCTCTAAAACTAGAAAAAATGAATTTAAACGCTAAAATTAGCCTGAAAACAATTTTTCTGACCATTTTGGAGGCGTGGCCTAGAAACCCAAAACTTTGGATTTCTAGGCCATCTCTCCAAAATGGGCGGGAAACTTGTTTCTAGGGTAATTTTTGCGTTTTAAGCACATTTTTAGCAAGCTTAACTGCTGAAAGTGACTTTTTAGCTCAAAAAAAGCTCAAAAAACACCCTGAAACTACATTTTCAGAAAAATGGGCTAGAAAACCAACAAAGTTAGGCCACATCTTGGAAAATGTGGTTTTAGGGGCTTAAAAGCTATTATTAGAGGTTGAAAATGTCAAAAATGCGCCTAAAACGCTAAAATTGATCTAGGAATGTATTTTTTGATCATTTTGGAGCCGTGGCCTAGAAATCCAAAAATTTTGGTTTTCTAGGCCACGTCTCGAAAATAGTTGGAAATACGGTTTCTAGGGTAATTTAAGCATTTTTAACACGTTTTTCTTATTTTCCCAGCCTAAAAATGCATCTAAAGCCCAAAAAATGGCCTGGAACATAAAATAAGAATTGGTGGCCTAGAAAATCAAAAGTTTGGGGTTTCTAGGCCATCTCTCCAAAATGAGCGGGAAACTTATTTCTAGGGTAATTTTAGCGTTTCAAAACGATTTTTTGCGTTTTCAACGCTCAAAAATGAGTCTTAAGCTATGAAAAATGGTCCAGGACAATATTTTTTTTAATTCCAAAGATTTTTCAGGTGACTACCCATCGTGTTCACTGGAATTCATTTTTAGATCCGAATGGCCGCGTGCACTACTCTCAACGTTCCTTCCGAGCATTTTAATAGTGTCTTCTGTATTTTTCGCTCAATGGAAACGGCGGAAAATTCAAATTTTAGTCTCCCTGGCGGCAATGGTTGGCATTTTGATTATGGTAGGGGGCGGAGTCTATTTTTTTTTCATTTTGAAAATGTGAAATTTGAATTCAGTGCGTTGGGAGCTTCAAAATGAGTATAATCATGAATAGGTTCCGTTCACTTTGATTTTACGGCGCGTCGCGGTCGTGCGTCGCGTGACAGAGGGAAACTTCAAAGTGAGCGGAGCCTAGCCGTGTTTGGGCTCATTTTAAAGCTCATAACATGCCAAATCTAGTGTTTTTTAAATTTTTGAGTTTGCTCGAAAACTCACAGAGTTACAGTACTTTTTGCATTTTTGGGTCCCACCACGAAAATTCGAAAATTTCAACACTTTTCAAATATAGTCGTGTTTAGGCTTATTTTGAAGCGTAAGACATGCTAAATTTAAATCCTGCGTAATGATTGCTTCAAAATGAACCCAAATTTGACTAGGATCCGAAAACGTTCGATTACTGTAGTTGATTCTTCAAACTACCGTAACCCCGCTAGTTTTGGTTCAAATATAGTCGTGTTTAGGCTCATTTTGAAGCTCTGAACTTACCAAATTCAAATTTTAAAATTTCAAAAAGTCCCATCCATGTATTTTTCTGAAAATTCCGATTTTCAGCTGTCTTCTCAACGCCCCTACACTGCAACTACTCTAATGGATCTCTGGTTATGCTCGAATTTTATTCATTCAGTTTTTTTGGTGTTAATCGATTTAACACTGCCCGCTAGAAGAGTACGGTACACTTTGATGGTCCATGTGGATGAGGAGAAGAAACAGGCAAATCCTGTCAAAATTATGACTACTTGTGGGTTTTTTGGCTGAAAATTGATTGAAAATTCGCTTTTTCGGGTCTTAAAAGTCATTTTTTGCTTTTGAAAATGTGAAAAATGAACTCAAAACATAAAAATTACCCTGAAAATTATGTTTCTGACAACTTTTGGAACGCGGCCTAGAAACCCAAAAATTTTGGATTTCTAGGCCACCTTCCCAAAATGGACGGAAAACTCATTTCTAGGGTAATTTCAGCGTTTTAAGCACATTTTCAGCATTTTTAACTCATGAAAACGCGTTTTAAGCTCGTCAAAACTCAAAAAACACCCTAAAACCTCGATTTTCAGAAAAATGGCCTAGAAAACCAACAAAGTTAGGCCATGTCTTGGGAGACGCAGTTTCTAGGGCTTTAAATGTCATTTTTAGAACAAAAACAAATAAAAAAAATAGGTGACTACAATAAAATGTAGGCCAGGAAACTGAATTTTCTAAGTGTGGCCTAACTTTTCCAGTTTTCTAGGCCACCGAAGAGAACTTGCTACTCTGGACCTAAAATTGGCTATTTTTGAGCTTAAAAATCATTCTTAGACGCTGAAAATGTTGAAAATTTGCTTAAAACGCTAAAATTAGCCCAGAAACCATGTTTTTGACAATTTTGGGAGAGTGGCCTAGAAAACCAAAAATTTGGTTTTCTAGGCCATCTTTTCAAAATGAACGGGAAACTCATTTCTAGGGTAATTTTAGTGTTTTAAGCGCATTTTTTGCATTTTTAACGACTAAAAATGACTTATAAGCCCAAAAAATAGCCTAAAACAACGTTTTCTGTTTGTCCGGATGTCCGAATATCCGCAAAACACTAAAATCATCATAACTAGGCTCAAAACCATCAGAAATCCATGAAAAGTAGCTTAAAATTTGTCTTTTTTTTGTTGTTATTTCTGATCTAAAACCTTACGCTATCTAGAATAATCCGAAACTACAGTAATCTCCCGAAAATTGAGAATTCATTATTTCAGCCGAAACCGAACACACAGGACCCCTCCGATTCGTGAATCATGTTATCGACTATTTGATGAAGAAAGAATACAAACCGACGACTACCGTAGTCACTGCGTGTCCCGGTCCAGTGAGTTCGGGGGGCTTGAAAAGCCTAAATTTTGGGCCTAAATGGCCTAAAATTGAAATTTTCAAATTTCAAAATTTCGGAGCAAACAAAAAAGTTGTCTAGACTGAAATTTCATTCTGACCCCGAATTTTTTGTTAAAATCATCAGAATTTCACTTCTGGAACCCAAAAAAGCTGAAAATCTGAAAACATTTCCAGACACCAATCCAACGTCAAATCACCACTGCCATGCTGGGAAATCGGAAACGAGCCGCCCTTTTCTGTGTTTTCTGCTCTTATCTCCTCTTTTTATTGATTTATGCAACTATTATCATAGCTATTGATTGATTGATAAACAATTTTTGAATTTTTGAAAAAAAAGTTTTTCAAAAAAAAAATTTTTTGTTGGACATTTTGAAAATTTCAATTTTTCGACTACTTTTGGTTTTGAGACAGTTCTAAATGCTAAAATCGGATTCCCCGCAATTTTTTACCCCCAAAACCATGGTTTTTGAGCGATTTGTGCATTTCGTCGTAAGATTCGGTGTTTGGTTTGGTGTTTGCACAGAATTGGAGCTACAGTAACCCGATAAAAAGAGTCAGAGACGCAGAAAAATACATTCTAGGGCAGTTTTCGATGGTAAATTCAAATTTTATGCTAACAAATATCAAAAAACTATGGGAAATCTGAAAAATCTTGACGAAAACCTTTTTTCGACATTTGTTCAAATTTTGGACAGTTTTTAATGCGAAATTCGATTTCCCCGAGCGTTTTTACCCCCAAAAATACCGCTTTCAGCTCATTTGTGCATTTTGTCGTAAGGTTCGGTGTTTGGTTTGGTGTTTGCACACAATCGGTGCTACAGTAACCCGAAAATTTGAAATTGAGCGCTAGAGACGCAGAAAAATGCTATCTAGAGTAGTTTTTGATGAGAAGTTCGAAATTGGTGTTAAAAAAAACGAAACAGCTCTAGAAAATGCAGAAATTACTGTGTTTAGGTTTCAGAAGGTTCCAGAAAACATTTTCAAATATTCAAATAATTTATTTTTGGGGAATTTTCGACAACAAAGAAATCGAATATTTTTGAGAATCGAATGTCTTTTTTCCTGATGAATTGGATTGTGTTTGCACATCTCTACCACAAAAATATTTTCTAGCTGGCATCTTGGCTAAATCGACCTTCTGTTGATGTTCTGGGTCGATAGGTTTCTGAAAAATGCTTTTTGAACCTTAAATACTGTCAACTTTGAGCCCATATATCTCGTTTCCTGTGAGAGATATCAAAAAGTTTTCAACTGATAACGAATTACTGATAATGCGATGAACATTTCACTAGTTGACCTTTTTTTGATATCTGTCACAGGAAGGTAGATAAATTGACTTCAAGTTAGGGGGCTGTTTAACTTCAAACCAATTTATCTCAATCTCCGTAAAATATATCAAAAATTAATCAACTGATAAAATGTTTGTCACAATATCAGCTACATTTTATCAGTTGGCACAATTTTGATATCTTTCACGAGAAGCAAGATAAATTGGCGAAAATACAACCCTGGCTAAAGACTAACGTTTGAGTTCTTGGCTTTCTGATTGACTTGTGTTCCAGTCATTGAGCAAACGGAATTCTTGCGACGACGAGGTGAGCAACAAAGCAACCATGATGACGAGAGCGAAAAGTAGAAGTGGTTTCATCTTGAAAACGAAATCAATGAATTACAGTACGGACTGAAGCTCAACGAGAATGGGAGAAGAAGTTTCAAAGGCTCTCTCTTTCTCTCATGAAAAACGACATTCCCAAATATGTGTCAACTATGTATCATTAAGAGATATAAAAAAATTTGTAAACTGATAAAATGTTAATGATAATATCATAAGCATTTTATCAGTTTACAAATTTTTGATATCTCTCACAGAAAACGAGATATTTCTACACAAAGTCTAAATGTAAAAACTCGCCTGACTATACGAAACTTTGAATTTTAGGACATATTCAGAAACTCCTCTACTTCCAGATGCTCTTCTGATGACAATTTCGTCTTGGATACGGTATTGATTCTCCATCAGAATATCGGTCTTCTTCAACATTAGTTTCTGTTGTTCCAAGACGAGTCTGCGCCTGATAAAGAAACCACTCTCTTATATGAAAATTCCTTGTCTTTGCTTTCAAAAAACCCGTATATCTCGCTTACTGTAATAGATATCAAGAAGTGGTCAACTGATAAAATGTTGTTGATATCATGATAAACATTTTATCAGTTGACAAAATTTTGATATCTGTCACAGGAAGTCAGATAAATTGGCTTAAAGTTAGAAGCGGTTTAGACTGATCCACAGTATCCGGCTCTTAACTTTAAGCCAGTTTATCTCGTTTTCTGTGAGAGATATCAAAAAGTTTTCAACTGATAAAATGTTTATCATAGTATCAATAACATTTGATCAGTTGACAAAATTTTGATATCTGCCACAGAAAGCTAGATAAATTGGCTCAAAAACTCACCAATTTCCGAAATCCAACAAAAATCACATATAGGAATGCTCAGAAAAAATCATAGTATGGGGTAAGCAGAAAAAAATCAGATATCCGCTTTCTAAAAACTAATGAAGGCTATGTGTCTAGATGCACTCTTATATACCCCTCCTATCCCCTTGAGAAAAAAGTGGGCGGAGCTTAGGCGGGATCACTAAAAGGTGAGGCGGCATTCGACAAAGAACCTCCGACAAAGGCACCGAAAGAACAACATGAGGAGAGAGATGAGAGACGCAGAGAATACAGAAGATAACGTTTGAAAAATACTTTTTATGACTCTTTATAAGTTATTTTTTATAAATTATGAGAATTAGATGTGTTATTTGAACTTGTTAGACCCATTTCTGGAAGATTCCAATTCCCATAACTGTTGAAAAACTCATCTGATCTTTTTGAAATTAATCTCATTGTGTTTTTAACGCTGAGAGCTTCAAAATGAGCCTAAACACGACTAGGCTCCGCTCACTTTGAAATTTCCCATCGGCACGCGACGCACGACCGCGACGCGTCGGAAAAATGAAAGTGGGGGGGGGGGGGGGGGACACTAGTCGTGTTTAGGCTCATTTTGAAGCTTATTTAATTTTAGATTGATTTGTATACTTTTCATAAAATTTGGACCATAATTAACGGGATTACGGGAGTTTCAAGAATCGAGACTACAGTAATCCAAAGTTTACGAATTCTAGTCAATTTTGGGCTTATTTCCAAGCAATATTTAGGTTGAGTTTGAATTAAGGATGTATTTTGCTTCAAAATGAACCCCAACACGACTAGGCTCCGCCCATATTGAAATTTCCATGAGACACGCGACGCACGACCGCGACGCGCCAGAAAAAATAAAAATAACCGGAATGTAGTCGTGCTTGGGCTCATTTTGAAGCTCATTTAATTCCAGATCGATTTGTATAGTTTTTGTCAAATTTAGACAAAAAGTAGCCAAGATACGGTAAAAAGAAATGAGACTATTTATTAATTGCAAATTTCCAAAAATTCGAACAAAGTTATCAATTTTTGTAATACAATCCAATCCTCTCCTCAACATCTCTCAATAGTCTCAAGACCATTTCTTCGCGGAATGGTGGAGCGGCGATTTGAACTGCAACCGGAAGCCCATCACAATTCTTCGATTCTGACACGATTTTACGGTCCCACGAGTCCTCGGTCTGCAAATTTCAGGGTTTTTTAAAAAAATATTCAGCGTTTTTGAGCCGAAATCAATTCCAGTGTGTTCGTGACGTTGAGAGCTTCAAAATGAGCTCCAACACGACTAGGCTCCGCCCATTTCGAAATTTCAGACGCGCCGCGGTCATGCGTCGCGTGTCTAGGACGAATTTTCAAAGTGGGCGGAGCCTAGTCGTGTTTAGGCTCATTTTGAAGCATATGAAATTTCAGACACAAATTTTTAAAATTTATTGATTTTGGAGCAAAATTAACCGAGATACGGTAGTTTTGAAAAAATTCCAATTTGGATATTTCTTGGAATTTTGAATTAAGAAAATTAAATCTCAAATTTCCTACCTTAACCTTTCTCAACTCCTGCTCATCTTCTGGTTTCTGTACAGTAACCGGTACAGTACCCGCCGCGAAATCAATCAAATTATAGAGTGCCGTGTAGCTGGTTGCGGACATAATTTTGTTGGGAACCCCGTGGTGTGGGGGTGGACAACCGAACGATGGACACACTATCGCGTCGAGACCCTTCGCACGCATCGCCATGACGAATTCATGACGGTAGTCCTCGATTTTCTCGTGCATTAGACGCATTTCTGGAAGATTCTTGATTTTTTGGAATTTTCTAAGCTTTAAACGTGTTAAAAACTTGTCAAAACAGTCTGAAACTAGTTTGAACGTTTTTGTCTTGTTGAAAGCTTTACAATGAATCTAAACACGACTAGGATCCGCCCATTTTGATTTGTTCGGGCGCGTCGCGGACGTGCGTCGCGCGTCTAGGTGAAATTCCAAAATGGGCGGAGCCTAGTCGTGTTTGGGCTCATTTTGAAGCATTTTATTTTTTAAACATATTGAATATATATTCCATCTAGTTCTAACCGAGATACGGTAGTTTTTTTTGGGGTCTCTTCATGAAAATTACAAAAATGACCGTATCTCGGTTAGTTTTTGTTCAATTCTATTGAAAATTAAATCAGAGAGTTTGAAATTTGAAATTCTTCGAAATGAGCCCAAACACGACTAGGCTCCGCCCACGTTGAAATTCCACCTGGACACGCGACGCACGACCGCGACGCGCCGGAAAAATAAACATGATCGGATTCTAGTCGTGTTTGGGCTCATATTGAAGCTCTCAACATGCCGATCTGACGATTTTTGAGCTTTTTCGTTAGCATCAAAAACAACAGAGTTACGGTACTTTTTACATTTTTGGGTCCCACCACGAAATTTCGAAATTTCAAACTTGTTCCAATGTAGTCGTGTTTGGGCTCATTTTGAAGCTCTCACTGAGCCAAATTCAAATTTTCAAGTTTCCCGCCAAACCGTACCTTCTGTATCATGCGGCAGCTGCTGAATAATCTGTCGTTCCCGCCGATTTGGCCAGTATTTTCTCAAAATTCGTTGTACAAAATGGGGCAAACGGGCTACAGGGAATCCAATGTTGGATTCTGGAGGAATTATGTCCTAAAATTTAAAAAAATAATAATACAATCTGTGTGTCTGTCTATCCAGATGTCCTACATTTGCGAGACTATTCATCAGGTAGAGACCACCATCGGCAGTGGCGCCGGCGCAAAAGATACTGTACATGTGGTCGGGACGAGGGACTTCAAACTCGATAAGATCATGTCCAAGATCCTGGAAAAATTGGGTTACTGTACTTTTTTGAATTTTTGAAAAATATGGAAAATGAGCAATTTTTTTCAGATTTTTTGCAAAAAATTCAAATTTTCAAATTATTGAAAAATTTTGATTTTTTAACCCAGTAAAAACCAGTAGATTTTGGGCTTTTCAAAAAATTTGAAAATTTTGGATTACTGTACCTTCAAAACCTCCACTGTCTCCTTTACAGCCCTCTCATAGGCTGGAGAGGCCTTCTGATAGCCGTCATTCAGGTAAAATCCAATTTTCAGCGAATTTTTAGCATTATAAATGTCCTCTCGGAATTTGACAGGCGGTAGGTACACATCTTTTTCGAAAAGCGCCAAATCATTCCATTTTAAACGAAGGTACTCCACACAGACGTCGATGTTCTTTGCGAGCGGTCCTTCGACGGAGAGAAGGAGCTGACGACCTGGAAAATGACATTTTTGAGTTGAGCGAGTCGAGTGCTTCAAAATAAGCCCAAACACGATTAGGCTCCGCCCACTATAAGGGTTTCTTAGGGGAGTACTGCACCTTTAAAATGGACGTGGCCTAATTTTTGCACCTGGTGGCCTAGATTTTGATTCTTCTATATTGAAATTATTCCAGTTTGATTTTACATGTCAAGCGCTTCAAAATGAGCCCAAACACGACTAGGCTCAGCCCACTTTCATTTTTACGCGCGCGTCGCGGTCGTGCGTCGCGTGCCGAAGAGAAAATTCAAAGTAAGCGGAGCCTAGTCGTGTTTAGGCTCATTTTGAAGCATTTTTGATTTCAAATTCAATAATAATATTTTTCTCAAGTTTGGACAAAAGTGAACCGAGATACGGTACTTTTTTGGGTATCAACACGGAAATTACAAAAACTACCGTATCTCGGTCATTTTTTGTCTTATTTTGACAAAAATAGAATCATTGTGTTTGAAATTCAGAATGCTTCAAAATGAGTCCAAACACGATTAGGCTCCGCTTACTTTGAAACTGACACGCGACGCACGACCGCGATGCGCCTGAAAAAAGAAAATGGGCGGAGCCTAGTCGTGTTTGGACTCATTTTGAAGCTATCAACGCGCTTAATTTAAATTTTTGTTTTTTGTCAGGTTTGGAGCGCAATTTAGAAAGTTATAGTGGAATTTTCCAAAAAAAAAACTTTTTTTTCAAAATTCACCTGGAATCGACGCGGTTTTTCCCAATTGTGGCGATCGATCGGATGAGCTCTTAAAGCCAGCGATTCCACAAAATGATGCTGGAGTTCTGACGGATCCGCCAACATCGGTTCCAATTCCCAGAACACTCCCGCCAAGTGCAACGAGAGCGGCTCCACCGCCTGATGAGCCTCCGGGCACTCTGAAAATTTAGATTTTTGTATTTAATTTTGAGTTAAATCTAAAATTTTTAAGTTTGGCATGCGAAGAGCTTCAAAATGAGCTCAAACACAACTAGGCTCCGCCCATTTTGAGGGGTACTGTACCTTGCTGGCCTAACTTTTGCGTCCTGGTGGCCTAGGTTTTGATTTTTCACTTTCGAAACATGCATACTATTGTTTGGCAGGTCAAGCGCTTTAAAATGAGCCTAAACACAACTAGGCTCCGCCCACTTTGATTTTACGGCGCGTCGCGGTCAAGGCGAAATTTCAAAGTGGGCGGAGCATATTCATGTTTAGGCTCATTTTGAAGCTCACAATCTCCCAAATTCAGTTTTCTTAAAATTATTACAAAAATATTTCTTACCTGGTCGTATCAAAGGGATTACTGGTGGATCCATAGACCGGATTCGAGCATCCAAAGCTGAGCAATGCAATTGGGATATTGGTATGAACGAATGGAACGGCGCCAAGTCTTATCAATTGATCAACTGATAAGGAATTGGATTTCGATGGATTATTGATGTTTTGAGAATATCCCAGTGTCGAATCCATATTTTTCACATGAATCGACTCTTTTATGGAGACGGGGACACCGAAAAGTGGCGGTTTTTTGTAGTCCGGATCCTTGGCAAGGGTCTCCAAGTGCTGAGCAATCTCCAGAGCCTCCTGAAATATCGAAAAGTCTAGAAAATTTCATTTAAAAAGACCCAAAACCCATTGAAAGTGACTCAGAAGGCTACCGTAGCCCCGTTGATTTTTGTCCGAATGCTTTCAATTTTGCGAATTTGACCTTGGCGTGCTGAGAGCTTCAAAATGAGCCTAAACACGACTAGGCTTCGCCCACTTTGATTTTTCAGCTGCGTCGCGGTCGTGCGTCGCGTGTCTCACCGAAAATTCAAAAAGGGCGGAGCTTAGTCGTGTTTGGGCTCATTTTGAAGCATTTCAAATTTCAAGCTTAATGATTTTACATTCGTCAAAATTGTACAAAAACTAACCGAGTTATGGTAGTTTTTGTGATTTTCGTGGTGGGACTCCAAAAAACTAGTATCTCGGCTAGTTTTTGTCTAAACTTGATGAAAACTATACAAATCGATCTGGAATTGAATGTGCTTCAAAATGAGCCTAAACTCGACTAGGCTCCGCTTACTTTGAAAATTTCGGTGCGTCGCGGTCGTGCGTCGCGTGTCAAGACGAAATTTCAAAGTGGACGGAGCCTAGTCGTGTTTGGGCTCATTTTGAAGCTCTTGACTTGATAAATCTGATGAAAATGACTAAAACTTGAACTTTTCAATTTCTAGGCCACCAATTCCGGTTTTCTAGGCCAGCCTCCCCTTGAGCTATTAAAATAGCTTAAAATAGCTCAAAATAGTTCAAAATTAGGGGTTTTATATTCATTTTGAAGCTCTGGGCCCGCCAAATTCGTACTGTTATTAGTTTTGCTATTTTCGGATTACTGTACCTGAATAAAAAGGCAAACACAGTTGGTCTTCTCGTTAGCCTCAAAAGCCTTCCGCTGGAATGCTCTTAAAGTTTCCACTGGCTGAAAATTGCCATTTTTTAGCGATTCTCGAAGATTCTGGAACTCCTGGAAGTTGATTTCAGCCGCACGAGCTGGGTCCAGTTTTTCGAAATTCTGAAAAAAAAATTTTGGCTGAAAATTTTTTTTTCAGATTTTAAAAATTTTTTCTTACATTTCTAGCCCAATCGAAGTTTACTTTCCTATCAGCTTGACGCTGTTTGATGAGCGTTTTCAGCTTCTGGCGATGATTCTGGATAAATTTTAAGAATTTTCAGAAATTTTCCAGAAAAACTCACAATATAGCCCAAAATTTTGGGAATTGCCCAAATTAAGAGCCCAAAAATGGTCCACAAGATTGCTGATAACATTATCAGCAAACTTTCTGAAAATTTCAGCCTAAAAATGAAAAAATCTCAAAAAAATGACTCGAAAAAAAACCGTTGAAATTGAGCAAAATGAATTTTCAAAAAGTTTGGAACTACCGTAACTCTGGTGATTTTCATCCAAATCAGTTGAAACTTACAAATTCAGTTTTGGCGCAACGAGAGCTTCAAAACGAGCCCAAACACGATTAGGTTCCGCACACTTTGAAAATTCCGGCGCGTCGCGGTCGTGCGTCGCGTGTCAAATGGGAAATTTCAAGGTGAGCGGAGCCTAGTCGTATTTGGGCTCATTTTGAAGCTCTCAACTTGATAAATCTAATGAAAATTGTTTAAGTCTGAAAATTTCAACTTCTAGGCCACCAATTTCAGAATTTAAGAAAAATGAAAAATTCAAAAATCTGAGAAAAAAATTTTTTTTTCCTAATTTTTCCTTTAAAACTAGAAAAAAACGTCGGAAAATTACAAAGCGACATTTTCAGCACTCTTATCAATGATAATTTATACTGTAAATTTTTGAAAAAAAAATTCTGAAAAAAAGAATTTTTCCATTTTTTTCAGAACATAAAAATTGAAGAAAAAAGTTTGAAAAAGTGGAAATTTTACGATTTTTCTTGTGATTTTTTTCGCTTATCAGTTATCAGGTGGACTTTGGAATCTTAGTGATAAGAAATTGGAGATAGGAAGAGAGACGCAGAGAAAAAAGTATTTATTGATTCTAGAACAACTACCGTAACTTTGCTATTCGTCTAAAAGCCTAAAAATGAAAAAATCTCAAAAAAAAAATCTCGAAAAAACCGTTGAAATTGAGCAAAATGAATTTTCAAAAAGTTTGAAACTACCGTAACTCTGGTGATTTTCATCCAAATCAGTTGAAGCTTGCAAATTCAGTTTTGGCGCAACGAGAGCTTCTAAACGAGCCTAAACACGACTAGACTCCGCCCACTTTGATTTTTCCGGCGCGTCGCGGTCGTGCGCCGCGTGTCGGAGGTAAATTTCAAAATGGGCGGAGCCAAGTCGTGTTTAGGCTCATTTTGAAGCTCTTGACGTCCCATAAACAATGAATTCAATTTTATCAGATTTGGACTGAAATTAACCGAGATACGGTAGTTTTTGTGATTTACGTTGTAGGGACCGATAACAAATCGGATGTTTTCCGAAAATTTGTTGTCTTTTTGCACATTTTTCAAACGACATCAAATAGAATTTAAAACTTTGTTCGAATTCATGTGAATATTCTGAATTTGATGTCTGGAGCCCAGCAAGTCTAAAATTGTTGTTTCATCTCAATTTTTCGTTTTAAGCATTATTTTTCTTCAACTTTCTTGTTTTCTATAGTTTTTCCAACGCTGTTTTGTTTATTTTCAGTTCAAATCCCACAAAAATTGGCTGAAAATGAGCCAAAAATGAGCCTAAAACCGATTCCCCTTCTTTTTCAATTCAAATTCGCGCGCTTTTTAGGAGGGTGTGCGACAGAGCGCGCTTGCATTTTTCATCCGTTTTTCTTTCATTTTTCGTCATTTTCCCTCTGTTTTTGTCGGTTTTTTCTCAATTTTTTTTCGTTTTTTCTGGAAATTTCCGCTAAAAATTCAAGTTTTCAGCATGATCAGCTCATTGGCAGTTGAGTTTGGCGCGTTGCGGCTCGCATGCTCCCCAAAGGTAAGTGGAAAAATTCTAAACATCTTTTGGTCGATTTTTATAGTTTTCAGGGGGTTTTTGGTGGTTTTTAGGGTTTCTAGACCCTCAAAATGCGATTTTTCGGGTCGGAAACCTTGAAAAAACGAAAAAAATTGGGGAAAAATCCAAAATTTTCGAACAATTCAAAATTTACCAATTTCAGATCATTACAGCCACTCGAAACCTGCCGGCTCGTGGCACCAAACCACTGCCACGTCATCTCTGGGACATGGCCGATATGGAAGAGAAAACCGGCGGCCGCTATACCCACAAACCACTCAGAATCAACAGATTGGGAGGAAGAGACCCGGAAACCGGCCGAAAAGTCAATCAACACATCGGTGGCGGCGTCAAATTTGACTATTTTATGATTGATTTTCATAGGAGGTTCGGGAATTTTCGAAAAAACGCGAAAAAATGAGCCAAAATCCATGTTAAAATTCATTTTTGTCTGAAAATCCCGATTTTTGGCTGAAACTAGCTGATCCTAGGGTTTTCAGATTCCAAAAATCGGAATTTGTGATCCCCAAATGCCCTAAAAGTGCGAAAAAACCAAGAAAATCCGTGATTTTCGTCTGAAAATAGCTAATCCAAGGGTTTCCAGATCTAGAAATGCTCGAAAAATCGTTTTGAACCAGAATTTTCAGCCAAAAATTGATTTTTGGCTTAAAATCCTTGATTTACAGCCTCAAAATTGGATTTTCAGAGGTCCAACCGCCCAAGGATCCACCTATGACGAGCGGGTGCTAGAAGTACGTCGCGACGCCAATCGAACGTGTCACATCGCGCTGTGTGCTGGGATGCAGGGAAAACGATGGATTTTGGCGACGGAGAACATGAAGTAGGCGCGCTAATTCTGGAAAAATTGGCTGAAAATAAGCAAAAACACAGTTTTTAAGCCCAAAAATCGATTTTAGCTAAACTTTTTAGCTCAGAAATTCATTTTTCCAGCGAAAAACAGCTATTTTTAGCTCAAAACTGATTTGTGGCTCATTTTGAGCTCAAAAATATCGATTTCCAGCTGTGTTTAAGATGGAAAATTCGAAATTTTCAGCCAAAAAATTGAAATTTACAACCTAAATATGGTTTCCAGCCATTTTAAGCTCAAAAATCCAAAAATTATGGCCGAAATATCATTTTGGGAGCATTTTAAGCTTGAAAATATTGATTTTTAGCTAATTTTAAGCTCAAAATTTTGCAGTTTGGAGCCTTAATATCATTTCAAGATCATTTTAAGCTTAAAAATATCGATTTTCAGTTGTTTTCAAGCTCGAAAATTCAATTTTCCAGCCCAAACTTCATTTTGGGATCATTTTAAGCTCAAAAATATTGATTTTTAGCTGTTTTTAAGCTCAAAAAATCCAAAAATTATGGCCTAAATATCATTTTGGGAGCATTTTAAGCTTGAAAATATAGAGATTCAGCTAATTTTAAGCTCAAAATCTCGATTTCCAGCGGTTTTAGGGTAACAAAATCGAAAATTTCAGCCCAAACTTCATTTTTAGCTCATCTTATGCCCTGAAATTCACATTTCCAGCCAAATCGTTTCTCATTTTTCAGAGCCGGAGACATCATCTCAACGAGTGGCCATTTGTCTGAAAATCCAGTGATTGGAGTGGAAGGGAATGCGTATCCAATTGGATCGTTGGCTGCGGGTACTGTCATCAATAGGTGAGTCGTTTTAAGCTGAAAATTGACCTAAAAATGGCTGAAATCGACCCAATTTGGCTGAAAATGGTCCAAAATTCGTCCAAAAAGCTGAAAAAGGGCTATTCCAGGTCGGTTTTGGCGTTTTTGGAGCTAAAAATCGACCCTAATTGGCTGAAATTGGCCTATAACATGACCGGAAATTAGCCATTTCCAGTTATTTTGAGCTGAAAATAGACTTGAAAATCGCTGAAAACGAGGAAAAACCGTCTGAAATCGCTTAAAATTGGTCCAAAATGACTTAGAATCCGTCTAAAACAGTCTGAAATTGCCTCAAATTTGTTATAGCAAGCTGGAAAATCGATTTTAGCTTGTTTTAAGTCATTTTTAGAACTATTTTAAGCTGAAAACATATCTAAAATGGCTGAAAATGGGTGAAAACCCGTCTGAAATTGCCCGAAATAGGCCGAAAATGATCCCAAATAGGTATTTTTGGCTAGTTGAAAGCAAATTTTAGCTTGAATTTGACCTAGAAATTGCTGAAATTTGGCTTAAAATTGGTCCAAAATGACTTAGAATCCGTCTAAAACAGTCTGAAATTGCCTCAAATTCGTTAGAGAAAGCTGGAAAATCGATTTCAAGCTGTTCCAGATCAATTTTAGCATGTTTTAAGTCATTTTTAGAGCTATTTTAAGCTGAAAACTGACCTAGAAATGGCTGAAAATGGGTGAAAAACCGTCTGAAATTGGCCAAAAAAAATAGCAAATTTTAGCTTGAAATCGACCTAGAAATTGCTGAAATTCGGCTTAAAATTGTTCTAAAATGGCTGTAATTAGCTCAGAATAGCTCGAAATCAGCCTTAAATGACCTAAAATGGTACTTTGAAAATGTTTTGAAGCCAAAAAATCGGATTTTCAGCCAAAAATCCATATTTTTGCCGGAAAAATAGCTGAAAAATCGAATTTCTGACCGATTTTCAGCATCGAAAATCTTATTTTATGACGTTTTTAGCTGATTTTAAGCTCGAAAATTTAGATTTCCCAGCCAAAAATCCCAATTTTGACCAACTTTGGACCATTTTAAGCCAATTTTCCTTCATTTTCAGCATCGAACGCTACCCCACAATGGACTCGGAGACGTTTGTGAAGGCCGCCGGCACGTCAGCGACCATCGTCCGTCACCAGGGCGACTATACCGTAATCAAATTGCCCCATAAGCACGAATTCTCACTTCATCGAGAGTGTATGGCTACAGTAGGACGACTATCGCATGCCGATATTGATTCCAAGATTTTCGGATCCGCACAAATGCATCGGAGGTGAGCGGAATGGCTGAGAATGGCTAAAATTGACTTTTTATGAAACTTGAAATCGATTTTTTTGAAAATTCTAGCAAACTTCCCCTAATTCTTGATTCAAATTCGAACTGGGCTTGTTCCGTGCTTCAAAATGAGCCCCATATTGCCTAGGCTCCGCCCACTTTGAACTTTCAGCTAGACACGCGACGCACGACCGCGACGCAGTCGAAAAAAGCAAAGTGGACGGAGCCTAGGCAATATGGAGCTCGTTTTAAAGCTCATTGAATTTCAAATCGATATGTATAATTTTTATTGAAGTTCAATCAAAATTAGCTGGGTTACGGTAGTTTGAAGAACCGAGACTACAGTAATCCAAAATTCGATTGGATCCTAGTCGAGTTTGGGCTCATTTTAAAGCATTTCTCACTGTGAATTTGAATTCAGCATGCCATACGCTTCAAAATGAGCCCAAACACGCCTAGGCTCCGCTCACATCAAGCTACTGGAGACCCCTAAAAGTGGGCGGAGCCTAGAGGCAATATGGGGCTCATTTCAAAGCTCATTGAATTTCAAATCGATCTGTATTGTTTTCATGTATTTGGACCTAAATTTAGCTCATTTTAAAGCGCTTTTTGCGCCAAAGCATGTATTGCTCTCCAAAATGAGCCCAAATTCGAAATTTATCGATTTCTTGAATTTTTGTTGGGTCCCACCACGAAATTCCCAAATTTGAACCCACATTTTTCGTTGCAGATTCGGCTACAAAATGTCCTCTGGCTTGTTCCACAAAAAAGACGGCTATTTCGGACGCAAGGTTCGTGCTCTTCCGCCGGTTCGTCAGCTGGACACGCCCCCACAGGCTCCGCCCCCTTTCCAACGGTTCACTTTGACGAAAACGGACCTATCGGGACTTCATGGACACGCGAAAGTACACAATTTGATTCCATCCGGATATTCGACGAGGGATTATCCGGAATAATTTGATTTCTGATAGCGATTTTTTGATTTTTATGATTTTTTTTGCTAATTTTTTGTTTTTTTTTAAAATTTCTGGAATAAAATAGTGTAGATTTGCCGATTTTATTGTGTTTGGACCGCGGAGAGCTTCAAAATGAGCCCAAACACGACTAGGCTCTGCCCATTTTGAATTTTGGCGGGAGCACGCGACGCACGACCGCGACGCACCTGAGAAACTCAAAATGGCCGGAGCCTAGTCGTGTTTGGGCTCATTTTAAAGCACATAGCATGACAAATTTGCATTCTTAGCTCGAATTTCATTAAATGCAAAAATTTTAAAAGAAAAAGAAAAAAAAAAGCTTTTTTGAACAAAGTTTGAAGTTTTGATTTATCCATAACTTTGTCAAATTTGTTTTAAACACGAAAATTTTTAGTTTTTCGAGTTTCTCATGCTGAAAGCTTCAAAATGAGCCTAAACACGGCTAGGCTCCGCCCACTTTTGTTTTTCCGACGCGTCGTGCGTCGCGGTCGTCACATGGAAAATTCAAAGAGGGCGCAGCCTAGTCGTGTTTAGGCTCATTTTGAAGCTAAAAATCTCAGAAATCTCAAAAAATGGCTTAAGACAGTTTCCACAATCCAAAATCGATAAATATTAGAAAATTCGAAAAAAAAAACTTCGAAAATTCTGAAAATTTCCGAAAATTCAAATTTTTGCATTATGAAACTGCTATAGTAGTACTCAACTCATCAAGCGCTTTAAGATAAGCCCAAACTCGACTATGCTCCGCCCATTTTCATTTTCCCCGGCGCGTCGCGGTCGTGCGTCGCGTGTCACATGGGAAATTCAAAGTGGACGGAGCCTGGTCGCGTTTGGGCTCATTTTGAAGCATTTGAAAATTCAAACTCAATGCTATATTTTTTGTCGAAATCGAGCGAGAACTAACCGAGATACGGTAGTTTTGGGAGGGGGGGAGGGGGGGGGGTTTCGTGGTAAGTCCAGAAATATTTTATATTTCGAAGTTTTTTTTTGGCTTTCCAGTAGACAAATTTTCATGAAAGTCATACCGTTTTATAGAAGATTTTTTGTAGAAAACATTGACAGTTCGAATTTTCAGAAAATTCTGAATTTGACGTCTTCTGGGGTTAAAACTCTGAAATGCGGTTTAAAATGTACTAATTAATGTTTCAAGGACCATAACTTTAGTTCTAGTTAACCAAATTAAATGAAATAAAAACTAAAAAATGTAAAATCTCTTGTAGAATATTTCAAAATTTTAAATTTTC